TATTATTATTATTATTATTATTATTATTATTATTATTATTATTATTAGTAGTAGTAGTAGTAGTATTGCACATTCCTAAATATCATCAGTATATTGAGTAGGGTTTAGTCTTAAGAAAGTATTACTTCATGTTCCCAATGTCCAACCATGGTATGAAATAGTTACTGTCCTTTTCTTTGTACTAGGGTCCTTTAAAAGGAACACATTACTTCTTGTGAAATCTAGTTCTCTTAAATACTAGATAAAAGCAAGTTTCCTATTTCTAAATACTGTGGTTGTAATGCAATCTGTGGGAGTACAGGTGCTTTACTCAGTTGGAAGTTCATAAATTGTTGTGTTATCCATTTCTCAACAGGGAATGCATGCAAACTCCAGTGTGACCATACCATGACAAAGGACTAACTGAAACATTCTCTCTTTTCAAATCTCATTGAGACTATTTCAAGGGGTGAGGGACACTTTGTGTGTGATAGCTGTGTAAATTATGTTTGGGTCTGCATTGCCTTGTTGGCTGTGAACTCTCAAGCCACCTCCAGTTCAGTGCCCCAGGACAGCAGATTGAAGTCTCACAGACCCAACAGTCTAGGACAGTGGTTCTCAACCTGCGGTCTGCGAACCCCTGGGAGGCCAGGATGTTGTCACAGGGGGTCCACAAAGGCTTGAAGCAATGGTATGATTTAAATCTTGAGTTAAATCTTGGGGATCCATGGTCATAGTCCATAGCCACAAAAGGTATTTAAAGGGGTTCATGATAAAGAAAAGGTTGAGAACTACTGGTCTAGGAAATTCCACTATCAACTCCACAACAAAGTAAGACAGCTCAAGTAAGAAGGCTGGTATAGCAGCAACAAATCCAACTGCTTCTTAGGGCCCAACTTCGATCATGATACTTTATATTTGGCTGATCATGATACTTTATATATTGAGGTTAACTGCAGAATCTCCAAGGCAAGCTCTGCATGTGGGACTGCCATGGAATAAGCCTTGCTACATAGCTCAAAGTCTACCAGCAGTAGTGCAAACCACCCTAATATATGCCAGTGAGACTTGAACTGTATACAGGAGGCAGGCTAGGCAATTGAACCACTTTCACATGACCTGCCTCCACAGACTTCTGATATTCTGGTAGCAGGACAAGGTGCCAGACACAGAAGTCCTCTTCAGAGCAGGCCTGCCATTAGTTTACACCCTGCTGATTAAAGCCCAGACACGCTTGACAGGCTATGTTGCGAGGATGCCAGACCACTGCATCCCCAAACATCTCCTCTATGGTGAGCTGTCTCAAGGAAAGTGATCACATGCTGAAAGTCTCTCTCAAGCCCTGAATATCGACATCACCTCCTGGGAAACCCTGGCACAAGATTGATTGACATAGCGCACATCAGTAGTGGGATTCAAAAATTTTTACTACCAATTCTGTGGGCGTGGGTGGTGGATGTGGCAGGGGAAGGATACTGTAAAATCTCCAGTCAGAGGTGGTATTTGCTGTTTTCCGAACTACTCAAAATTTCCACTACCGGTTCTCCAGGACCGGTCAGAACCTGCTGAATACCACCTCTGCCACACATTGATCCATCAAGGCTGCCAGACATTTGAAGACAGAAGGATAACCACAACTCAAGAGAAGTGAGCACTCCGCTAAGCCCGAGCTGCAAATGCTGCAATCGTGGTGGTCACACATCTACTTGATGTGTGGCAGAACATTCCGTGCCTGTATAGGTCTTACCGACAGGGATGGTATTCTACCGTTTTGGACTGGTTCAGGCAAATCGGATGTTAAATTTGCATCTGGTTCACTGAACCAGTATTTGAACTGACCGGCTGGCCCCGCCCACCCCACGCTGCCCCTCCCAGGAGTCTCCACGCGGCCTATTTTCGATGCAGATAAGTGCAGGGTCTGCGCGGAGGCTCTATGAGGGGGGGGGGGGGAATGGGCCTTCAGGAAGTACTGGAAGTCTGGAAATGGGCCTGTTTCTGGCTTCTGGAGGGCCTCCAGAGCCCGGGGAGGCCATTTTCGCCCTCCCAGAGGCCCAAGGGAAGCCTCCAGACTCTTGGAAAGGTGAAAAACACCCCTCCATGAAATACCAGAAGTCCAGAAATGGGCCTATTTCCGGCTTCCAGAGGGCCTCCAGAGCCTGGGGGAGGCTGTTTTGCCCTCCCATAGGCCCAAGGGAAGCCTCTGGAACCTTGGGAAGGCAAAAAAAAGGCCCTCCCAGAAGTTCTGGTAGGCCACTCCACCACGGCCATGCCCACCCAGCAACTGGACAGCGAACCAGTTGTTGGGATTTTTGAATCCCACTCTTGCTTACCGGCTACTTGCGGACACACCGTGGACAGCCCACAACCTGTTAGATGTCAAGGAAAAATGATGGACAAATATCAATAAATGGTATGGTGTCTCTAACAGTCATTAGGCCTTCTCAGAAGATAGTCCCACCTTCCTGGCCCAAGACTGCAATTCATGTCAGACTCAAACCTCAGGTAGGTATATTTCAGAGATGGAAACATCCTCCACTGGACCCATACCTGATTAGCTGCCTCATCCACTATCAAATCATGGATGAGAGCAACCTTACTATACACCAAACTAGCATTTAGTAACAACAACTAGAGACCAGACTACTGAGGAGCTAGTGAATATTGAGGACCAGAAGGTGAGATCATCCCAGAGATTGATATTCCCTTTTCCAGGAGAGGATTATTTCTGTTCCCTATTGTAGGACAGAACAGACTTTCTCTTTATAAGCTGCTTTTAAAAGGATTGTTTGCTTTCCCCCCAGCAACATTTCACTTTACAGCTTTCTCTACTTTGCCTTGAATGCAGTTCTTAATTAATTAAATGCACTCCACTGTGATGTAATAGTTAACATTTGACTGCTTTGTACTTACTCATTGCCAAGCAGTTTAAAAACATACTCAAAGAGGTGAAATTGAAGAGTGGCTAACATCTGGCAAAATGTACCTGACAATGAAAGATCCAATAAAAGGGGCAGCACCAGGCAACTACAGGCCAATTACTTGCTTACAAACAACTTTTAAATTGCTAACTGGTGTGGTTGCTGATGCAATCCAACAGCATCTAGTGGAAAACAAGCTTTCTCCACCTGAGCAGAAAGGAAACCACTTAAACAGGGGAAAATCAACAACTAATTGACCAGATGATTCTGAAAAACTGCCAAAGAAGCAAAACCAACTTGTATGTAGTGTGTAGTGATTACAAGAAGGCATTTGACTCTCTTCTATATGATTGGATACATTTTGTGCAAAAATCAATGGTCCAATGGAAGATGCAGTTGCTGGTCAATAGTGGTAGACTGGAAGAAGCTAATATCAAGAGAGGAATCTTTCAAGGAGATTCACTTTCACCATTGTTTGTTATTGCACTGATTCCTCTGTCAACAATACAACCCTAGCCCTGGCTATTACACATCAAAAACATCTACCAGGCTCTCCCATCTCCTTTTCATGGATGATCTGCAACTGTATGGAAAAACACCATCTGAAATAGAATCACTGGTCAATACAGTCTGTATATGTAGCCCAGATATGGAGTTTGCACTGGACAAATGTGCCACACTCAGCATCAAACAGGGAAAAGTAGTGAAAACTGAAAGAATCAAGACCCCAAGAGTCTGGATGGAGATGATCACTGCAAATAACTGAGTATCTTTCAAGCTGACAATACTGAAGTCAAGAAAAAGATTAGAAGTGAACACATCAAGAGAGTGAAGAAGATCTTAAAGTTCAAACTCAGTGGAGGAAACACCATCAAGGCAATTAAAACATGAGCAATTCCAATCATTAGATACACAGCTAGAAGTGTAGACTGGACTCAAGAGAAAGCAAAGGCCCTAGATAGGAAGACCAGAAGAAATAATGACAATGAATCATGATCTTCGTCCTTACAGCTATGTTGATGGACTGTATTTATCAAGGAAAATAGGTGGGCATGGAATGTTGCAAGTAAATCAGACAGTTGAAGAAGAAAAAACACCATTGGGGGAATATCTGAAACACAGAGAATAAGATGCACTGAAGCTAATGTACCAGGAAGGCCAAGCTGGCATACAAGAAAGAACAAATGAAAAATTTGGAAAAATTGGAAGACAAATTATTACATGGCCAGTGCATTTTAAAAAATAGAAGGCAAAGCAGACCTGGCAATGGTTAAGAGCAGGAAAATTGAAGAGACAAAGGGGCTAATTCTGGCTTTACAACACCAAGCCTTAAGAACAAAGAATTGAGAAGATAGCAACAAGTGGCACCTCTGTAAAGAAGTTGAAGAAACAGTTGATCACCTAATTAGCTGCTGCAGAAACATCGCACTAACTGATGACAAACAAAGGCACAACAAAGTAGCAATAATGGTGTAGTGAATGATCTGCAAGAAATACCATTTGCCTGAAAGCAAGAACCGGTGGGACTATAAAATACAGAAACTAATAAAAATGAAGAAGTTAAAGTACTTTGGGACTTTAGAATTTAAACAGACAGGCATCTTACACATAACACCTCAGACTTAACAATTGTTGATAAGAAAAACAAAAAAAGTCTGGATAGTGGATATGGCAATACCTGGAGAAGTAGACTAGAAGAGAAAGAACTGGACAAGATAACAAAACATGAAGCTCTGCAAATAGAAATAGAATGACTGTGGCAAAAGAAAGCAAAGGTAGTACCCATGGCCATAGGTACCTTAGGTGCAATCCCAAAACAACTGGAGCACCACTTTGACATTGACAAATTCACCATAAGTCAGTTGCAAAAGGCAGCTTACATCCTACATCCTTTAAACACCATCAAACATCCACACCTGTCTATCCCTGGTCCTTGGAAAGGTAGATAAAAATGCCAAATCCAATCTGGACATCTGGCTGGCTGTGCAATAAACAACTGATCTGAACACAGTTCGACTTTGGTGTTTGTTAGCAGGGATCACATAATCTGTGTTTTCTAATTAAGGTTGGTCACCCAGTCACCCAGATCTTTTGATTGGGTTTGGCATTTTTATCCACTTAGCAAGTCCTTCCAAAGGACCTGGGATGGGCAGATGTTGATGATGTTAAACCAGGCCCTTGGGAAGGACTCTGTACATGTGTTTTTCTCTGGTGCGACCAGTCTATCAGGCAACCTTGTCTACCCAATTATGTTTCCATTTTCTTCCTATATTTTTTTGTCAGTAAAACATAAATTTGGCTCTATAGGTGGATAATAATGCTGAACTCAATTGAACATCTGAGTAACTGCATGACCAACCGTAATTAGAACACAGATTTTATGTGTCTCTGTCCTGGCTAGCAAGCACCAAAATCAAGCTATGTTCAAATCAGTAAATAAGTGACCTTATATATTTAAACATTCAGCTGGCATCTAACAGTATTTCTATCAGAATTCCATATATAAAACATACAATAGTCTCCTCTCCCCTTTTATATATATTTCTTTCATGCTTGGTGTAAGATCTTACTTCATTCTTTAAACATGTCTTTAATTTGTTCTGGTTGTTTGGCCAGATCTTACATTCTGGTTAAAGCAATGAGATTATGGATGGGATTTTTTTTTAAAAGGACCAATGGTTTACAAATCAGCTTTCATTTCCAGACTGCACAAAGTCATCCAAAGAGGTAAAAATTCTCCATTGTAAAAGTATATTGCGTAGTTATGGGGAAAAGGAAAAGCAGCACCTTTGTTAAAAAGTACAAAAATTATCAAAGCTGAAAATTAATTGTAGAGCATTTTGATGAATGCATGGTGATGGTGATGATGCTAACCGTCTCCCTTCCATTCTTCTCTCTATGGATAAAAATCAAGATTGCATTAGGAGTGCATACTGAACAAAGTCCTAAGGAAATTAAGTGCTTTCATAAGGTTTGTATATGGGTCAAACTGCATCCCACATGAAATTTGTGCAATTCATAGACAACTTGACTGATGCTGGAATGTAATTTTCCCCCTGTTGCCCATAAAATGTAGTTTTCTAGTATGCTCTTTTGGACAGCAGAAGTGGCAGAATTTACTTGGCCTGTTAATTTCCTAGAGGCTTGAAATACTTTGTCCAAGTATTTAAACTAACTCTAATCCATGGGAATCAATTGACCACTTGTGCCTTTGTCCATTGTTGAAAAAACTAAAAGTTATGATTCCTCCTAGTTGATAATTAATTATGTTTTTCATTACAGAAGAGTGCTGTGATTGTTAATGCTGCTTACTCTAAAACGCATGTGGAGAGTTCATGTGGAGATAATACTAATGAACATATCCACATAGATCTGCAAAATCACCATCTCCAAAGTTTATGGAAAGATATTCACTCAGAATCAGAAGATCCATACATCAACAAACTATGGGAAAGGTTTGGCTAGGCTAACACTGATGCAGCTTTCATGTACAACAAATGTTCTTCCTAAATTGTCATTACATTCTAATCTAAACCTCTTTCAATGACCTTGTTAAAATTGGGGCTATTTGTTGATCTATAAGTCACTGAAAAGAACCTAACAACTGTTATGTACAGGTGAAACTCGAAAAATTAGAATATCATGCAAAACTTCATTTATTTCAGTAATGCAACTTAAAAGGTGGAACTAATATATGAGATAGACTCATTACATGCAAAGCAAGATAGTTCAAGCCGCGATTTGTCATTGTGATGATTATGGCTTACAGCTCATGAAAACCCCAAATCCACAATCTCAGAAAGTTAGAATATTACATGCAATCAATAAAACAAGGATTGTACATAGAACAATATCAGACCTCTGAAAAGTATAAGCATGCATATGTACTCAGTACTTGGTTTGGGCCCCTTTTGCAGCAATTACTGCCTCAATGCGGCGTGGCATGGAAGCTACCAGCCTTTGACAATGCTGAGGTGTTATGGAAGACCAGGATGCTTCAATAGCGGCCTTCAGCTCTTCTGCATTGTTCGGTCTCATGTCTCTCATCTTTCTCTTGGCAATGCCCCATAGATTCTCTATGGGGTTCAGGTCAGGAGTTTGCTGGCCAATCAAGCACAGTAATCCCACGGTCATTGAACCAGGTTTTGGTGCTGTTGGCAGTGTGGACAGGTGCCAAGTCCTGCTGGAAAATGAAGTCAGCATCCCCATAAAGCTCGTCTGCGGAAGGAAGCATGAAGTACTCCAAAATCTCCTGGCAGATGGCTGTGTCGACCCTGGACTTAATGAAGCACAGTGGACCAACACCAGCAGATGTCATGGCTCCCCAAATCAACACAGACTGTGGAAACTTCACACTGGACTTCAAGCATCTTGCAGTGTGTACCTCTCCATTCTTCCTCCAGACTCTGGGTCCTTGGTTTCCAAATGAGATGCAAAAGTTGCTCTCATCAGAAAAGAGGACTTTGGACCACTGAGCAACAGACCAGTTCTGTTTTTCTTTAGCCCAGGTAAGACGCTTCTGACGTTGTTTGTTGTTCAGGAGCAGCTTGATGACATTTGAAGCCCATGTGGAGGATCCGTCTGTGTGTGGTGGCTCTTGATGCACTGACTCCAGCCTCAGTCCACTCCTTGTGAAAGTCCCCAACACTTTTGAATGGCCTTTTCCTGACAATCCCCTCCAAGCTGCAGTCATCCCTGCTGCTTGTGCACCTTTTTCTTCCACACTTTCCCCTTCCACATAACTTTCTATTAATGTGCTTTGACACAGTACTTTGGGAACATCCAACTTCTTTTGCAATTACCTTTTGAGGCTTTCCCTCCTTATGGAGGATGTCAATGATGGTTTTCTGCACAACTGTCAGGTCAGCAGTCTTTCCCATGATTGTGATTCCTACTGAACCAGACTGAGAGACCATTTAAAGGCTCAGGAACCCTTTGCAGGTGTTATGGCTTAATTAGCTGATTAGAGTGGGACACTTTGAGCCTAGAATATTGAACCTTTTCACAATATTCTAATTTTCTGAGATTGTGGATTTGGGGTTTTCATGAGCTATAAGCCATAATAATCTCAATTATGACACATCATGGCTTAAACTATCTTGCTTTGCATGTAATGAGTCTATCTCATATAATAGGTTCACCTTTTAAGTTGCATTGCTGAAATAAATGAACTTTTGCATGATATTCTAATTTTTCGAGTTTCACCTGTAACTCAAGGATCACAGTTTCCAAAGGCACATTAATCATGACACCCACATTTGATCTTTACATTGTTTTATTACACTTCAGTATAATTTTTGATTCTGTTTCATTTACAATATGCACCCATTGCATAGTCTAAGGATTGAGCAAGGACTGCTGAAAAAGAGTGATAACATCCATCTGATCACTCTTAAGCTATTTGCTATTCTGCAGATAAGCAAAATATTACATTGGGAGGTGCCCCGCATGAAGCCTGCTATTCTCTTAAGAATATGTGCTCATGTTCCTGAAATAATTGCCTCTGATTGGCTATGCAAAACCAGGCAGGATATGATTAAGCATAGTTCTGCAAATCTAATCTTTCTCCTATTTTATCCCTGGATAAATAGAAGCATGCTAGGGTGCGGCAGGACTATCATACTATCAAAGTTCAATTGGCACTCAGCCTTGTGGCATAAATCTTTGCCTTTATCAGTCTTTTTTCTGACCACTGGAAATGAAGACTTAGATCTGGTTTCTTCCCACCCACATAATAAACACTGGATTTCAACAATTGCTCCTACAATTGCCAACTTAATATACTGTAGTACCCATCCACCATCACCCAAGACTAGGCACGCACGCCCCCAACTACCTCAATTCCAACTACTGCCGGCCTTAAATGCAAACTACTCAATGCAAGAAGCCTCGTGAATAAAATACCTGAATTTCTCTTCCTCCTAAATATGGCTAACTTTGACATTATATTTGTCTGTGAAACATGGCTCAATGCATCTCTCCCCGACTCCATTACCACAGTAAGAGACTATCATGTTTACAGATCAGATCGTGAAAATCGTCGAGGAGGTGGAGTTGCTATATTCTATAAAAAATCCTTACATCTAAAAAATATCCAAGTTACCCAGGAGTTTGCCCTTCCTGAAACCATCATCTGTGAACTATCCTCAAATATCACAATTCAATTCTTACTATGTTACAGAGCACCTGATTATGACATCGAACATGTAAACAAGCTAAATACATTACTAACATGGGCTGCATCCTGCCCATACCCTTTTATCCTTCTTGGTGATTTCAATCTACCTCATATTAACTGGACCCTAAATGATTGTACAACTGAAATCATACACACAACCTTCTACAATGCTATTACAAATCTGGGACTGGAACAACTAGTAACCAACAACACTAGACTAAACAACTGCCTCGATCTCATCTTCTGCAACAGTTTGAACCTAATCTACGGAATACAATCTAAAGAACCCTTTTCCAGTAGTGACCACAATATGATCGACTTTTGTCTCAACATACATCCACACAAAAATTACCACAATGATGTAATCCCCTATTGTAACTTCAAAAAAGGCAACTATGATCTTATAGACAACGATCTCTCATCCCTTGATTGGCAATCTCTATTCACTGGATGCAATACCGTTGAAGACCATTATAACATATTTTTACTTGAAGTCAAAAGAGTCATCAAACTATATGTACCAACAACAACTCCCAAAACAAAACAAAAAAGCAGATTACCCATATCAATAAGGAAACTTCAATCCAAAAAGAGATCACTCTGGCGGAAAAACAAATCTGGTCACGTTGCCAATTTCAAAAACCGATACAAAAATCTATGCCACCAGATAAAGACCGAATGCACCAATTATCACATTAAACAAGAGGAAAACCTTCTAAGCACCAATTCCACCCGCGCTTTTTACAATTTTGTAAACAACAAACTAAAAGACTCAAGGTCCATCCCTCCCTTGATAGGACCTGATGGTAAAGACTGCAACGACGACACCATTAAAGCCAACATTTTTAACACATTCTTCGGCTCAGTATTTGTAAACAGCAATGGATCATGCCCAATATTTCCTAGCCGTACCACAGATAACAACAATGATCTAATACATATCGATTTCACAGAAGACAATGTTGAAAAAGCAATACGCAACCTAAAACCATCTCTATCTATTGGACCGGATGGAATATGTGTCTACTTCTTAAGAAAGCTATCCACTGCCATAGCCAAACCTCTAAGCATAATCTTTGAAAAATCTTTCAGAACCAGCTCCTTGCCTAACCTATGGTCACAAGCCACAGTCATCCCCATCTTCAAAAAGGGAGACCCAAGCCTAGTTGAAAATTACAGGCCAATCTCCTTATGCTGCGTCACCTGTAAAGACATGGAATCAATTATTAACCAATCCATCATCCTTCACTTAGAGACAAATAACCTACTCTCCAATAAACAATTTGGTTTCAGAAAAAAACTATCCTGTAATCTGCAACTCTTACACTGCAAAAACATATGGACGACACAACTCGACCAGGGCAAAACAATAGACGCAATCTACATAGACTTCTGTAAAGCCTTTGATTCAGTGGTACACGACAAACTACTCCTAAAAATAAAATCCTATGGTATCTCTGGACAACTGAATAACTGGATAGAAGCATTCCTGTCAAACAGACAACAAATGGTCAAAATCGGGAGCGTCCTATCAAATCCAGTACCTGTCAATAGTGGTGTTCCCCAAGGCAGTGTTCTAGGACCAACTCTCTTCATACTCTACATAAACGACCTCTGTGATCATATTAAGAGCAATTGCGTTCTCTTCGCTGATGATGTAAAGCTGTTCAATACCACAGACAATACTGCTACCCTACAAAAAGATCTTGACTATGTATCCGAATGGTCAAACAAATGGCAACTTCAAATCTCAACAAATAAATGCTCTGTCTTACATATTGGCAAAAAAAATCAGAAAATAAAATACAAGCTGAATAGTCAAGATCTTGTTGATGACCCAAGCTCTGTAAAGGACCTTGGAATACTCACCTCTAATGATCTAAGTGCTAGAGCCCACTGCAACTACATAGCCAAAAAGGCATTAAGAGTTGTTAACCTAATCCTACGTAGCTTTTTCTCTGGTAATATCACACTACTAACCAGAGCATACAAAACATTTGCTAGACCAATACTCGAATACAGTTCATCAGTCTGGAACCCACACTACGTATCTGATATTAGCACAATTGAGAAAGTCCAGAAATATTTCACAAGAAGAGTTCTCCACTCCTCTACTCGCTGTAGAATACCTTATGCCACCAGACTTGAAATTCTAGAACTAGAAAACCTTGAATTACGCCGTCTTCGGTCTGACTTAAGCATGGTATACAAAATCATACATTGCAATGTCCTACCTGTCAATGAATACTTCAGCTTCAACCATAACAACACAAGAGCACACAATAGATACAAACTCAAAGTAAACCGCACCAAACTTGATTGCAGGAAATACGACTTCAGCAATAGAGTGGTCAATGTCTGGAATACTCTACCCGACTCTGTAGTTTCTTCCCCAAACCCCAAAAACTTTAACCTTAGACTGTCTACTATTGACCTCACCCCTTTCCTAAGAGGTCTGTAGGGGGCGTGCATAAGCGCACCAACGTGCCTACCGTCCCTGTCCTATTGTTTCTCTTATTCTTTTATTTTTCTTATATGTAACCATTTCATGTATTCACAACTATGTATACATTTATACTTATTATCTTGTAAACAATTGGCAAATCAAATAAATAAATAAATAAAAAAATCATCTGCAGATGAAGCAAAATCCCTTTCTGTTGTGCCATTCACATACTTGCAACAGAGAGAAACACAGACATCTGCAGGCAAACAGGAATTAAGAGGGCAAACACAACCACATCATTGAGGTCAGGGGTGGGATTCTACCAGTTCACACCCATATGCCAGAACTGGTTGTTAATATTCTAAGCAGTTCGGAGAACCAGTTGTTAGAAGAAATTACTGGGCTAATCCTGTAAGGAAGGCAGGAAGGAAACATTCTGGTGTTGCTTACAGAAACTGCCTCTCCGTTAACCCTTATTACATTCTTGGCAGGACTAGACTTCCTGTCTCTGGAACTTCTCTGGAATTTTTTCCCCCTTTGGTACTTTGCTTGTGTGGAGTGACCATTCAAAGTTACAATGGCACTGAAAAAAGTGACTTACAACCATTTTTCACGCTTACAACTGTTGCAGCATCCCCACAGTCATGAGAGGCCAGGTGAGGAGATGCGTGCCTTGATGTGAGTGATATTGAGTTGGCCACGCCCAGCCAATAACATGACCACCAAGCCATGCCCACCCAGTCACATGACCACCAAGCCACATCCACCAACTAAGCCACGCTCACAGAACTGGTTGTTAAAAAATGTGAATCCCACCCCTGATTGAAGTCCATTTCCTTTTACATTGATAGATGCCAAAAAGGCTTGGGATCTGAGCACACAGTACTGATGTGCCCCAGGGGGTGGGGGGAAAGGTTGCAACTGAGCAACAGGAAACATAACTGCCTGCCTGCTCCCACTGGATACAATGCGCCTAGGCCTGGAAAAGAAACCATGAGAGAGTAAACCTCCATTTGTTCATGTATCCAATCCAGAAATGAGGTGATGCGACTGTAGACTCCAGGTTTGTTTTCTTCTGCACAGCCCAGCCCAAAGCTGGTTGTTCCCACCAACTTCCAGGTATTCATATCTTTGCATGCCAGTGGCCCCCCACTGTCTCCCTGAAAGAGACAGAAAAACATAATGTGATGCGGCCATGCCTGAGATATATTGCTAATCACCACCTGACACATATAGGCTGGGGAATTCTGGGAGTTGAAGTCCTCCAGGCTTAACGTTACCAAGGTTGGACACCCCTGAACTACCCCATACTTTAAGGACTGCTATCTTAGACATCCGTAGACCAATTAATTAAGTGTAAGCTTTTATTCAAGCTGCTTAGCAACTGCAAATGAAGAACTGCAGAAGAACTCTGTGGTGAGCCCACAGCATGCCTTTCCTGGGAGGCCGACAAGGTTCTCATGAAAAAAGAAACTTCCTTTTGTTATTGTCATATAGCTCACGGTTTCTCAACCTTGGCCGCTTGAAGATGGCTGGGGAATTCTGTGAGTTGAGGAGGTGGACAAGATTGAGAAACACTGATACAGCTTATTATAACCTATCAAGTTGATTGTGGCTGTCTTCTACTGACTCCCTCAACTTGTGCTTCTCCATAAAAGAGTAGGAAGTGATGGCCAGAATCCCAAACTACCATACCCAGAGGCAACACATCTGAAGAGGGATATTTCTGTAAGAAGCAGGAGCAGATTTTTGCCAAAAACTGAAACAGATCTTCTGCATCTTCTGCTAAGCTTTGGATTCTTAAGCTAAGCTTTGGATTCTTACTATCCTTCCTTTTCTTATATTCTCCTAGGCAAAACATGGTGGGAGAATTTCTTAATTTGCAATATTCCTAGTGATATTTCCTCACTTCTCCTATTTCATTTCTATTTGCATGCATTTATAATTTGACCACAGGCTGATATGACACATGGACTTTTTCCTATGGCTGAGATGAAGAAAACTTGTCATCAAATGCCATGTAGAAATTCTGTAGAGGTTTTCTTTAAAAGGTAGTAGGTTTGCATATGACTCTCTCTAGAGGACATATTTTTAATGAACATTTAATCAACAATAACATTTAGACATGTACCAATAAGAAATGTTCTTACCTGACAGGTGTCTATGCCTCCTTTTAAAAAACCTGCACAGAGCATTGACGATGCTACAGTTCCTCCATAGACTTCTCCACGATTGCATACTTGGTTAGAAATTAGAGGGACACTGGCATATTTCATGGTTTCAGAAGTATCACCTGATATCCCAAGACAATAATAATTAGTTTTCCATTTCTGTGATAAGATGACTTTGTAAAAAAAAGCTATAACCAGTGATGAAATATACAGTATATCCTAAGAAGATTCCTATAATTTAATATATTTCATTAGTCTTATAATCATAAATAAGTGTAAATATATTTATTCATTAATATGCATATTTATTGTTGTTTTATAAGATACTGGGTTATATGTATCAACTATTTTTGCTTATTAGTTTCTTTAGAAGGAATTTTGATATCCCAAAAGAATTAATTCAAAACTATTTATAGGCTAATGCATTGAAATGTTTGATATTCAATCAGGCACTCAATGAGCAAAACATTAAATTATAAATCTCAGCTAGAGAGATGAAGTTAATCCCCACTACCTTCCAATGGATGTAAATTAGGACCAGGAATGGAACAGTCTTCCCAAATCTTACTTATTTTGTATATGGTCAACTATAGTCATTAAGTTTTGCAATTGAAAACAAAAAAGATTCAATTTATTTTCATGTTTATTGTATGTTTTTTCATGATATGCATTTTTTGTGCACAGCATTTTCTACTATGCACATTTTGTGACTTGCCCTAATATAATGCAATTTTGAGCTAATTTGATTTAGCAGTTAAGGTGTTGGCCTAGAAACCAGGAAATTGTGAGTTCCAGTCCTGCCTTAGGTATGAGCCACTCACTCTCCCTTAACGCAATTCACTTCACAGGGCTGTTGTGGGGAAAAGGGGAGGATTGATATTTGCCACTTTGGCAACATAAAATGGCAGGATGAAAATATAATATGTAATTTTTAAGCAGGAATTGCAATGTAAAATTCAGAGGAGTGCAAAGTCAAAAATTAATTGTATTCAGATCAACCTATAGACTAATCAAAATTCCATACACTGCAAAATTAATGTGTGGTATTTATACTTTGGGAAGTAGATAATTTGGCATTGTCAGATGTTTGGAACATCTCCTGCACTCTTTTTACCTCAGATAAAGCAGGGAGAGAGGAGATGATCTTCATGTTTTTAAAAAGGAATCATTTATTTATTTTGTTGGTACAGGTAGTCCTCAATTTACAGCAATTCATTTAGTGACTACTTAAAGTTACAACAGCACTGAAAAAAGTGGCATGACCATTTTTCACATTATGGCCGCTGCAGCATTCCCACGGTCACGTGATTTACATTTGGATGCTTGACAACTGACTCACATTTATGACGGTTGCAATGTCCCAGAGTCTTACGGCCTTCTGACAAGCAAAATCAATATGGAAATAAGATTCACTTTACAACCATGTTACTAATTTAAGAATGAAGTGATTCACTTAACAAAAGTGGCAAGAAAAGTCATAAAATGGGGCAAAACTCACTTAACAGATTTCTCACTTAGCAACATAAATTTTGAGTTCCATTATGATCGCAAGTTGAGGACTACCTGTACATAAAGCAATAATTAACAGCTCATAGTAATTTTATTTCTATTTTGTGTTTATAAATTTATTTTCTGTTATAGAAATAAAGGGTTGGGGTTTATTGAGAAGTTTATAAAAAGGTATTTATGGGAAAGCCTTGAATTAATTTTTCACACGTGGCAGTTTGGTTGAGAAAATAAATGTACACCTCCTTCTTCTGTCGCTCCCCATCCTGATATCCAACACATTTTTCCTTCTGGAAAATGTTCTCCAAAATTAGGAAGGCAAATTGGCTCTATAAGACCTGTTTAAGCAAACAACATTCACTGTGAGATCACATCCCTCATCTTTTTTCTAAAGATTCAGAACTTTTAAAAATTTAAATACAATTTTTGAATACTTCTTGTGTAGAACTACAGCACTGGGAGATTATAGAGGGTTGGGAAAGTGACAAGCAACTTCCCATTCCTGAACTGAACATCCAGTTTTTAAATTATTTGAATTAAAAATCAATTCTGAATTTATGCAAATCCACGAAGTCCTAAAATAATAACAACAACAATATATTTAACACCATTAAATGACTACATCTGCATCGCTCAGGTCCTTGGCAAGCACTTAATAGGTAGAATAACAATGTCAAATCCAGTCTAAACATCTGGCTTATTGTGCCATAATAACATACAACAATGATAGAACAGCATAACTTAATAAAATAAAACCATTTCACTGAAAATGATGAAAGAATAAAATATAAAATGATACTATTATTGGGGAAAATGAGTCTGCATACTTTGCATAAGTTCTAAAAGTGGATTTTATTTTGAAGATATAACAAATTCTCATTCACCGAAAAGAAAAGGAAAAACAAAAGGCATTTTTCTTGGTCTTCTTGGCTTCTGTTCAACTACTATTAAAATTCTGCAGATTATGAATACAGTCTCTCTCTCTCTCTGCAAGTTGGGTTTTGGTAGTCTCTCCCACAGGACAGCTGTATGGAGATAAGAATCATAACCCACACCTTTCCTTCCTTCCTCTTCATCATAACTGCTTCTGTAAAATGAGCATCAGATGATCACACATCACCAGACACCTGCACAAATTCCTCTCTGTGCCAAATACACAGTATTCAAAAGAAACGAAAAGCACAAAAAGAATATTCCAACTTTATACAGGTCTCACATTCTCACGGTCATACAATATTCTTTCCATAAGTGACTACTTTCCAAAAGTGAATATTAACACTGTGGCAAATATGTGGTAAATTTAGGCCACTCTTCTCAATATGAACTTTAAATACAAAACAAGAGAGAAAGAAAATCAAGAGTCAAAATTACCATTTAGTGCAAGTGGAGTAGCCAGCTTAATCAATGCTATATCATTCTTCATTGTTTTAGGCTTATAATTTTTATGGTATATAATTTTGTCCACTACGTGTGGGTTAACAGGACTTTCTTCCAGGATTACTAAACCCACATGAACACTCCATGCTTCTGGTAGGTACAAACTGTTTCAGCAAAAACATTACAAATAAAAAGAAATTAATATCTTTCAACATTTAAAATTGGCTGTGTGTAGAGTTTTGAACTTTATGTTCAATAAGTTTTGATGTATAAGATTTCATTTCCAAAAATATAGAATCATAGGAATCATATATTTTATATCATATTGTACCACTGCAGCATTCACTTAATCACCATGGCATTTGCTTAAGCAATACTACAAAAAAAAAATATGTTGAAAAATAGGGTCTGGTCATGTGGTTCCCTCAACTTACAACTGCAATGATTTCTGACCATAATTCCAAATTCAGTTACAATTGTAAGTTGAGGACTACTTGTATAAACTTCTGCAAGTGGTGTCAACAGAATACTTATACTGTATTTCCCACCATCACTACCTTTTCACAGCAACATTCAAGGAAATTTAGGCAATAATTCCATCCTCCTGATCAGTTCCAGAATTCAAATTAAAACATTAAAACCATGCTTGAAGGTTATCTCAAAGGTGCTTTTTCAAGAGGCAATTGGACTTTCTTTGTTTTCCCTTGAAGACATTTCATTTCTGAAGAAGACAGAACTGAAGAAGCTTCTTGGATGAGAAGCAAAATATCTTCAAGGAAAAACAAAGAAAGTCCAGTTGCCTCTTGAAAAAGCACCTCTGGGGAAACCATGTCCTGGATGACTGAGAATCTCCATAGACATCATGCTTGAAGATAGCCATTGAAATATAACTCAGAATGATTCTGTAAGAAAGATAGAAAATATAAGGTTTCTATTGGCACTGTTGCAGAAGTTTACAGCACGCACACAAAATCAAATGTAGTTAAGTGAAGATGTCTTTGTATCACATCTATTCACTTTTTAAAAATTTCTTATAGCCCACACCCAGCCATTCAAGCCCAGCCAGGGTAACATGACAATCATTAGTTGCCTCTCTATATCACACCAGCATCCTGGAAAACAATCAAGGAAAGTTGATTTCCATGTCATTGCTGTAATGAAAAGCACCTATAACTAAAATATACAGATGATAAATGTTAATGCTGTACTGCTGTTGTGAAGCTATATGTGAAGCAGCATGGTAAGGTTAAAAAACAACAACAAAAAGACCCCCTTTTTGGAAGATGGCGAACATGTATATAGGCTGAACTCATGAAGACCAGAAAGATAAAGCTCAGATAATATCCAGTGAGAGAGTGCAAATGGATGCATTTTTGGAACAAGGAAATCGGAATACGAAACCGGAGATGACATCACAAAGTGTGTAGAAAATAGTATTCTAGATGGGATGCTTACTCATAAACACAATGGGCTGCTGTAACAATCCACCGACGAGTGATGACTGACCCCCCACACAAGTGATATCCTTGAAACTGAAGGCTGGCTTGCCATGGCCATTGCTGGAGCAGGGATACATTTCCACCAACAATACGTGGGGAGTACCTGGTCCTGGTACCACATGCTGGCAGAATGAAAAAATAAAAACACTGGCATATACAAGTCACTATAAAATGCCCATTCTTAATTTCTTTTTTCAAATCTCAATTTATTTGTTTATCCCTTAGCTTTGTATTTTTTTGGATGCATGAAAGGATCAAAGACTCAACCATCATAATTCTACATTCCTTATTTATAGATATCATACCAAAATTTAGAATGAAATCCACTGGGAGCCATCTCATATAAGGCAGGCTCTGAGTCCCTCTAACCAAAAAGTCTACATTGAAAACAGAGAATATTTGTAGCTCAGGGTTGAACTGTGGGGTCCTTGGTGCTCTCTGAGCTTGGTGGTTTTCTTGCAGATGTTTTGTTACCAAACTAGGTAACATCACCAATACTAGAAGGGAGTGGAGTTTGCTCTTTGTTTTCATATACTAGTGGCTTACTCTGTCAGTGTTGATCAGTTGCTTCACAAAAAGTGTTTTGCTTGGTGCCTGGTCTCTACAGCCTCAGGCAGAGAAGGGCTATTCTGCACCCCTCCCTCAAATGTTCTTTAAAATACAGTTTTCCAGCATTCCTTTAGGAACCTCCAACATACAAACTGTGGTTACTCATCCTAAAGTGAATCCTCTTTGCTTGGAATTCAAATGTTGCTGTTTGCTGGGAAGGTGTGTAGCTAAAAGTCAATCTACATTTAGTGTACATCTGACTTCAGGGATATTTCTTCATAACAAAACAAAACTTCCTTTTCTGTGCAGTTCACACCCCTTGCTTGCTGGATCTGGATGTCACAAAGCAAAGCCCATATTTTGTAATTAACCCCCGCACTCCGTTTTGGCTGGCAGAGTGTTGCAAGAGGCTGAGTGCTGTCCCACCCCCTGGCCATGCACCCCCTGGCCATGCACACCCAGCCACACCCAGCCGGTCATTAGGGCAGAGAACCAGTTGTTAAATTATTTGAATCCCACCACTGATCTAAATGGTTGTTGTTGCTATTATCTTTATTTTGTGATAAATGATAAATTTTAGGAGAACTGCAGTTATACCAAACATGTTATTAACTGAGGCATCCCCACCAGAAAGTTCTCCTCCATAAGATTCGCAGAAATTAATTGAAACTGATAACTTTGTTTTGTATAGCTGCCCTTCATTAAAACTAAAGTTGCACACAATGTGTTTTTCCAGTCTTTATATTTGAGCATTTTCATTCTTCCCTAGGTGGTGTGAGGAAATTGGGTTAACATTCTATACCATTTCCCAAATCACTTACCTAAACATTTTAAGACAATTACATTGCCTGAAATACATTCTTCTCTGAAACAGAAAAAAGTAGTCTGTTACTTGTCAGCTTTATGCATCAAAATACCATTTGTTCAGCCTGTAAATTTAAACCAGCCTTCCTAAATTCATCCCTTCCAAATATGTTAGGACTACAATTCTCAGAATTCCCAGATAGCTTTCGTTATGTTGCCTAGAAAGTCTAAACGTTAGCATCTTTCTTTCTTTCTTTCTTTCTTTCTTTCTTTCTTTCTTTCTTTCT